CTACCTTTATACAAACAGTTTCTCGGGCAGAATACCGCCCGAGTTAGGAAAGTGCAAATCTTTGACTAATTTACAACTGCATGAAAATCAACTGGAGGGAGAAATTCCACATGAAATAGGAGAGCTTCAGCAGTTGGAGATTCTCTATCTGTTTACCAACAAGTTATCCGGTGAGATTCCACTCAGCCTTTGGAAAATCCGAACCCTTAAAAGTCTCCAGTTGTATCAAAACAATCTTTCGGGTGAACTACCCCTTGAGATGACCGAATTAAGGTATTTACAGAATGTTTCTCTATTTGAAAACCACTTCACAGGTGTGATTCCTCAAGGTTTTGGGACTAAAAACAGTGTAACCATTCTCGATTTGACCAACAACATGTTCACCGGTCAAATTCCACCGAGTTTGTGCTTCCACAAGAAACTGAAGAAACTTCTATTGGGTCGCAACAATCTGGAAGGTAATGTTCCTTCTGATCTGGTGAACTGTCCCACACTGGAAAGGCTGATACTTAAAGAGAATAACCTCACAGGTGTCCTCCCAGGCTTTGTCAAGAACCAAAATAACCTTCTTTTCTTTGACCTCAGTGGGAATAACTTCATTGGACCAGTACCTCCAAGCTTGGGAAACCAAACAAACCTTACTGTCATTAACTTGTCTTCAAACAACCTCTCTGGTATTATACCATCCGAGATTGGAAGTCTCGTGAAACTTGGACTGTTGAACCTTTCTCAAAATGCCCTTGAAGGTACACTCCCCTCTGAGCTATCAAACTGCCGTGAACTGTCTGAAATTGATTTAAGTCACAATTTGTTGAATGGCTCAATTCCGTCCACTTTAGGAAACTTGCGGGAACTTTTCAGATTGAGTCTAGGGGATAACAAATTTTCAGGGAATATTCCGAATTCGCTGTTCCAATCCAAAAATAAGCTCTTAAATCTGCAACTTGGTGGAAATTCACTAACTGGAGATATTCCTCCAGTCGGGCCAATGCAGATGCTAATATCATTAAATTTGAGCAGTAACAACCTGGACGGTCAACTCCCTCCAGATCTTTGGGAACTTACAAAGCTAGAGGAATTGGATTTGTCTAATAACAATCTTTCTGGAACTTTGGGAGTTCTTTCATCGATCCAATCATTGACTTTCATCAACATATCTTATAACTTGTTTTCAGGTCCCATACCACCTTCACTGTTGAAGTTCATGAGCTCATCTCCTTCTTCATTTCTGGGGAACTTTGGCCTTTGCCTCTTCTGTCCTGTTGATGGATTAACCAAAAAGAGCACCCTCAGTCATTTGGAAATAGCAACGATAGTTCTTGGGACATCGTTATTTGTTATTTGTCTAATCCTTCTACCCACCTACCTTTATATACGTCGCAAGTATTCTTCTACACAAGAAATTCTAGTTTGTCCTCAAGAGGGTGATTCTTCCTTGCTAACTAAAGTGTTGAAAACTACAGAAAATCTGAATGACAAGTATATAATAGGGAGGGGAGCACACGGAACGATATACAAGGCTTCAGTGGGTTCCGATAAAGCATATGCTGTCAAAAAGCTTGCATTGACTGGGATCAAGAATGGAAGCATGAGTATGGTTAGGGAAATTCAAACGATCGGGAACGTCAAACACCGGAATCTTGTTAAGCTGGAAGACTTTTGGCTTAGAAAGGAGTATGGACTGATTCTATACACTTATATGGAAAACGGAAGCCTCCATGATGTGCTCCATGAAAGGAGTCCACCTCAGCAATTAGAGTGGGGAACACGTTATAACATTGCTGTAGGGGTTGCTCAAGGACTTGCATATCTCCATTTTGATTGTGATCCTCCTATTGTTCATCGAGATATTAAACCTAAGAATATACTTTTGGACTCTAATCTCGAGCCTCACATCTCTGATTTTGGCATTGCCAAGCTTCTGGATCAGTCTGCTGCTGCTTCTCTACCATCCAATACAGTTCAGGGGACAGTTGGCTATATGGCTCCAGGTAATCTTTTGTTATTTATGTTTTTCTATGGTTAAGAATGCCCTAACTTGAATACATATCGTTATAAGTTCATTCTTTTTAGTTCCCATTTATAACAAGAATTCATACCACTAATTCTAACAAATCTTGTACTGTGTTTGGTTCAAGGGAGGAGAGGGAACTGAGAGAAGGTGAATGTTTTTATTAATGCCTCAAAGGGGAGGCGAGTAGAGAGAGTAATTTATTATAGCCTTTTGGAACTATAGGAGTTTACGGAGAGTAGGGAAAATAAAAATATGTAGACCAAGCTAACCTTGTTTAAATTTATTTAAATTTACAACCTATTTTCTTTATCTATTTAAATATATAGACGAAGTGTATATTTTTAACTTTTTAATTACACTTTTATTTCATTTAATTATGAATGTTCATCTCCAAAATTATAAGATAAAAAAAAAAAAAGAGAAAGGAGATGTGATTTAGATGTCATATGAGTATTTTGTACTCCGTATTATATTAGTAAAATATAATAAATGAACAACAATATGACTATATAGTCACTAGTCACTACAATCACACTGCATTGTAAAATAGATTATTACCAGCCACCATAATCACTGCAAAAACCACTTTAGTCACTGCATCTGAAAAGTCACACTTTTCCTATTTTAGTTTTATTTTAGTCATAATTTGTCGTTATTTTATGCATGATTACAACACATCGGGAATAATGTTCACGAGAAAAAACATTTTTCTCCCATATTTTCCCAGTTTTGGAAAATAGGGAAAATAATGTCCCAGATATTTTCTTGAAGTCTTGATTACATTTAGTCAGTCCACAAGAAAAGAAATCACTTTCCTTCCAGATTATTTTAACAATTTTGGAGGGGAGGGAAAATATGGGAGTGTAGATATAATCATGAAATAGATGTATCCTTCATTCTTGCTTCCCTCACCAAACAAGGCGAACAAAGCATAACCCCTCCCCTTCACTTCCCCTAAAGCCAAACACTATGGTCATGTTTATGTTACCCAAATTCATAGCATATTAGCATCACAATGACGAAATTATAGCAATGACTTGTACTGTTTCAACAGAAAATGCATTTAACACGGTGAAGAGCAGAGAATCAGATGTCTACAGCTATGGAGTGGTTCTATTGGAATTGATAACCCGTAAGCAGGCTTTGGATCCTTCATTCCATGGCGAAACAGATATTGTCAGTTGGGTTAGGTCCGTTTGGCAAGGGAGTAAGGAAATTGAGAGGATAGTGGATCCAAGACTGATGGATGAATTGGTAGATTCAAGAACAATGGAACAAGTTAGGGAGGTGCTTTTGCTGGGGTTAAGGTGTACAGGAGAGGAGGTAAAGAGAAGGCCCACAATGAGAGATGTAGTGAAGCAACTAACGCGCTCCTACTATAGAGTTAGAAGCAGTTCTAAGGGCATGTTTGGCACAAGTAGTTTGAGTTGAGTGATTGAATAATGACTATGTATGGGTTGGGTTGCTCAAGTATGTAATATATTAGCTGGCTGAAGTAAACCCAGAGATGTAATTTTACCTTAGAAGACTATGTAGTATAGTCATTCCATTACCTAATGAAATTTTGGTAAAACATCTATTAGTACTAATATGTGTTTGAAGGGAAAAGGGGCAAATAAGGCCACGTACTAACCAAAAAAGGTTAAATAAGGCCTTATTTATGAGGCTCTGTCCGGCCTTCGCCATTTGGGGTGGTTCTCGGTGGAATTTTTTTGACCATTTTATTCATTAAGTCTAGCTTATTTATACCAAATTTCAGCTAACAATTCAATCGGGAAGACATTCAAATGAATTCTTGAAGATAACTGCGCTTTTAACTGTGCAGTTATCTTCAAGAATTCATTTGAATGTCTTCCCGATTAACGTTTTAGCTGAAATTTGGTATGAGTAAATTAGACTTACTGAATAAGATGTTCAAAAACTTTCATCAAAAAATTCCACCGGAAACCACCCCAATTGGCGATGGCCGGACAGATATTCTTAAATAAGGCTTTATTTGACCCTTTTTGGTTAGTACGTGACCTTATTTGCCCATTTTCTCGTGTTTGAATGATGCATAAATTACACCATTGAGGTAAATAACTTTTGTCACAAAAGTTCAGCATGCAACTTTTGGATGGACTAAATGGTGCTAATAGTGTCAAGTACAATGTTTGGGATGGTGACATTGTGAACAAAAACAATTGAATATTTATTACAGCGTGATAAGAATATGAACGATTTTCTATTAATTAATTTTCTTGTGTCATTGAGATTTTTGAATTGGAGATGCTCTGATTGTCTAGAGATATTTGATAAAATTAACTACTCCATATTAAAGTATTTTTTGTAATTAAAATTTTGACAAAAGTTGGATGACAAAATGAATAAAGATGTTTTCCTTTAGATTGTTTTTCAGTTTCAGATCAGACCAGATTAGATTTGAACAATTATAAAATACATAAAAACCATATATTTACCAGACCATTTCACACGAAATCACACCGGACTTGATCAAATGAGACCATACCAAACTAGGAAATTTCAATTAACAAAAAAACATCCAAAGTCGAAAATTGGGGTCAAACCAGCTCTCAATCAAAAGCCAAAAAGGCCGAAAGGTCTCCCCAGTCTAAGGGCATGTTTGGCACAACTAGCTGAAAATATACTTTTGTGAGCTTTTTAATAGCTATTAGCTTTTAGTGACTGAAAAGATCTTAAAAAGAAAAGGTGGTAGCTGTTTGATAAAAAACTGACTGTTTGATTTAGTTCGGTTTGGTATACAAGCTGTTAGGATTAATTAATACTAAAAGTCACTAGCTTTTCTTAGATGCTACTCTCGTTAGCATCTCAAAAAAGATCTTTTAATTTTTGAAAAGCTCTTAAATATTGTCATGTCAAACACACAATTAGAAGCTTTTAGGAACTTTTTGAACAGTACAAAAGTTAGAAGTCAGGGACTTATGCCCGCCAAACATAACCTGCCAAACATAACCTAAACGTAACCATTCAACTTTGGACTCAAATCACTTACCGAGAATCAGGAAAAGAATGATTCCTACAATGAACTGGGCAGGATTTTTCTTGCGTTTCACACTTCCACGTCAGTTTCAATGAACGAAAATAGATAGAAATCTCTTCTCAGTTCCCACCAGTCAAAGCAGACTTTGAATGTACCAGTTTTCAGTCTCTTTGAGAGCCAGACAAGAACAATATTCAATTATGTTTTTACAGTGACTTCTCAGAATTACGCGTCAATTGTTATTATGTAACAGGCAACCATCGCCGGATTTTGTTTGACGATGTCAAAGAATCCTAAGCTAGAAGCTCATTGGCGATTCTCCTGCATGCTCGTAGGGTCCCAGCTCTCTGGAACCAAATATATACTAGCTGAATCGCCACAAGCTTCCTCGTTCAACGTGTTTCAAAGGTCTGATTTTTTTATACCACCCAAAAATGGAGGCTGCCAGAAGACATTGCCTTGCTCTTTTAATACTTGAAATATCTTTAGTCACTATTTCGTGTATGGGAGCAGTAAATGTTGATGTGGGTGTGATTCTTGATTCGGAGTCCATATCTGGAAAGACTAGAAAGGCTTGCATTTTACTTGCTCTGTCCGATTTCTATGGAGGCCACAACCGCAACACCCGGATTGTCCCTCACTTCAGGGAGTCCAAGTCCGATGATGTCGGTGCATCATCTGCAGGTTAGTGAGGATTTCATGGTCTCTTAGTTGCAATTGTGTAAGTGAATGATCTTTGCATATATGATGGATTTAATATGTTTTTACTTAGACTGGTTTGAGTCCCGGTCCCAAACATACCAGACCAAACTTAAAACATACCAGATCGGACTAGAGCAGAAATTTCAGTCCAATCAATTTCTAATCATACCAATTGAATATGTTAGTGACAAACTTAAGCCCTATTGAGCATTTGCTTTTCAATATCTTCAGAACTCACATTGATCTTTTCTTTACATTGGGAGTAATTTGCCAGTAATGTACGTATTCCAAGTTATAAACCCGATCAAATAATGCCCAAAGAAAAAATTACTTTATTGTGAAGATCAATAGAATCATTTGATGATTAAAGAACGAGGGAAGATGAAATGTTTTTTTCTATTCTGAGGCGAATTAAATATGTAGTGGAGTATGTGATAGCCAAATGGCTCATGATTCTATGCGTTGATGAAAAGTTAACATGAGATTTAGAAGACTCATAGAGCCAACAGACAAAGTTTTGGAGCTTATAAATGGGTTCTGTCTATGTTTTGCAGCCTCCTATTACTTTTTTTTACTACTAACCTGTACTAGTATATAATTTGGACCGTTTGATTTTGTCATGCATATTTGCAGCCACATGTTTTTCCTCTGACTTTACCATATGATGCCATGCAACATTGACATGAGATTTTTTATGTTATGATAGAAAACAGCATATAAATCTTGAAGTTGTAAGTAAGTTGTAACTATAATTTTTACTTGAATCTATAGCATTAATTAGCTTTAAAGTAGTTTCCGTCAGCCCCCTTTGTTAGAATTACTGCTTCTTAAGCACGGGTTCCAGCTTGGATCTATGGCGGATGTTTTTTTCTTGTGGGCGGGCCCGTCTTGGATACTAGTTTGGGGGACGTCTGACGGCGACGGAACCGGCTGGTGTCATGGTGGCAATCAATTTTGAGTCATGAGAGGAGAATAGGTTTAATGGCCGTGATGGTTGTGTATTTTCCTTGCAAACGCTTATCTGGTTAAAGGAGGATCAGCTTGATTTGACTGGATTGATTTTCAGGGTTATAAGCTGCAGACTCACTTTGATGCCCTAAATATTTTGTTTTTGGGTTATTTTTGTTGTTTTACTTGTTTTTGTTGGACTTCTATTTCTGGTTTGTTTCTCCAGTTGTGGTAAATGAACTTCAACCCTAATAAATGGTTCACGATTTGGATTTGCTCCTGAATGAATAACGCCGTCTTTGCCTGGCCGATGAGTGTACCAGGTGTTAGTACTATTCTCACAATGTTGTAAGATCTGCCTTGTTTTATACGGAGTATCTATTAATATGCATAAGTGGTTTTCTTTCAGAAAATATAACATAGTTGAGATCAAAAGGAAGACAATGATAATGATTATGATGTATATTTGCAGCTGTAGACCTATTGAAAAATATTCAAGTACAAGCAATCCTAGGTCCCCAGGGATCAACCCAAACAGATTTCGTAACAGACATAGGAAAGAAAGTCAGAGTTCCCATAATTTCATCAGCCACAAGTCCCTCTCTTTCACCCATCCAAAACCCGTACTTCATCAGAGCGGCTTACTGCTCCTGTGCACAGGCTAAGGCCATTGCAGCAATAGTTAAGGCCTTTGGTTGGAGGGAAGTTGTTTTTATCTACGAAAGCAGCAACTTCGGAAGCGGAATCCTTCCTCATTTGGTGGATGCGATGATGGATATCAGCATTTCAGTAGCACATCAAAGCGTTCTTTCGCCATCAGCTGTTGATGATCAGATCATGGTGGAGTTGCTCAAGTTAAAGACAAAGCAGACACGTGTCTTCATAGTCCATTTGCATCCAGATTTTGCTCTTAGGTTTTTTGTTAAGGTGTGTTAAAATAATATATAATCTACTTCTTTTATTGATATGACTTTTAACTCACAGTTTCATAATCAGAAAAGAGAATAGCGAATGGAACCCTAAGTTGTAATCAGAATACTAAAAGTAGAATTGCTAACTTTCTATATACAAAATGACTATCTTCTATACTTTATTAACTAGGTGAGAGAAGCTGGAATGATGAGCAGTGGATATGTATGGATGATCACTGATGCATTCACTAGCCATTTGGTTTCAATGGAACAGTCAGTTCATGAGTCATTACAGGGGGTCATAGGTGTGAAGCCATATGTTCCAAGTTCAGCTAAGCTGAATAACCTAATCAGGAGATGGAAATCAAAGGAGTTTCGTCGACTAAATCCAGACTTAGATGGAGTGGAGCTCACTGTTTTTGGGCTGTGGGCTTACGACAGTGTCATAGCATTAGCAACAGCACTAGAGAAAGTAAATACCACTTCGGGTATGGAGCTGAAGAAAACATTTATTAATAAGGAGAACAACCTCACAGATTTGGATGCAATTGGGACCTCACAAATGGGGCCTTTGCTAGTTGAATCCATAAGAAACGTCAGATTCAGAGGACTAAGTGGAGATTTCCACATTCTTGATGGAGAACTTCAGCCATCTGCTTTTGAGATTGTGAATGTGATTAGAAGAGAGAAAACGATTGGGTTCTGGACAGAAAAGCATGGGATTTCCAAGAAATCTATTAACCCAAATGGTACAACTCTTTACTCTGCTAACAAACATGACCTCGGGACAATCATATGGCCAGGTGACTCTATCACTGTTCCTAGAGGGTGGGAGATTGCCACTGATGAAGATAAGTTGAAGGTTGGAGTCCCATTCAGAAGAAGAAAAGGGTTTGAGCAGTTTGTAAAAGTCACAATTCATCCGCAGACAAATGCTGTAAAGGCAACTGGTTTCTGTATAGATGTCTTTGAGCAAGTTATGAAGTCAATGCCTTATTACGTGCCGTTTGAATATATACCGTTAAAAATCCCTCTTGCCAATGGCAAAAACTTTCCAGAGTATGATGGTTTCTATGAGAAGGACTTCACTATGGTAAAATATAGAATGCTTCATACTAGCTACTAGCTAGCAATCATTTCCTCTAATCTTTCATGTTTGTTCATTTCCTTAATTCTTGACAGAAACTTGATGCTGTGGTTGGTGATATAACCATTTTATCAAACCGGTCCAAACATGTGGATTTCACATTTCCATTCACAGAGTCTGGGGTCAGTATAGTTGTTCGGGTCAACCAAGAACACAAGAACCCATGGATTTTCTTCCAACCATTAAGGAAAGAATTGTGGCTGGTGACTGCAGCGTTCTTTGTCTTCATTGGCACTGTGGTTTGGGTTCTTGAACACAAAGTAAACAAAGAGTTCCAAGGTCCATACCACAAACAAGTTGGAATGATCTTCTGGTTCTCCTTTTCAACTCTTGTTTTTGCACAAAGTAAGTAGTACTACACAGCGTGTATTAAAGTCCTGGGATTCTGGCTAGTTAAAGCAAACCAATGTGCTCAGTTTAATTAAGTATATCAAGATCAAAATGTTTGCTTTAAGTTAACATGGTCTGACATGATAACATTTTAAGCTGTGAGGTTCCATCATGAAAACACAACATGATAGTAAAAGAAAATATGTTACTTTTTATTTTTGTATTTGTGTGATATGAGCCATCTTAACTCTGTTTTTAGATTTCTCCACTTGATTTTACCATAAATTAAGCTACATGCTATGTTGTTGTTGTTGTTGCAGGGGAGAGATTAATAAATAATTTATCGAAATTCGTGATTATAGTTTGGGTGTTTGTGGTGCTGGTTCTGACATCTAGCTACACAGCAAGTTTATCATCTATGTTAACTTCAAAAAAGTTGCAACCCACTATCACTATTGAAGAGCTTATAAAAAATGGAGAGTATGTGGGATACCAGTATGGTTCTTTTGTTGGAGATATGTTAAATAATAAGTTTGGGAGCACAAAAATGAGGGGTTATAGCACATTAGAAGAATATGATGAGGCACTCACCAAAGGAAGTATAAATGGCGGTGTTGCTGCTATTATGGATGAGCTACCCTATCTCAGGCTCTTGGTTGCGAAGTATTGTGGCAAGTATGCTTTAGTTGGTCCAACCTACAAGACGGCTGGATTTGGATTCGTAAGTTGTCTAGTCTAATCTTGGACTTGATAAAACTGGAGTTAATTTCTTCAGCATTAAGATTAGTTATTAATTGTGGTGGTTTCCGTTAAAGTATCGTTTAAAGATTTACCTGCACATCAACCATCACATAAGCGTTGGATTTCATAACCTATTTTTTGGCTTGTTGCCTAACCTTATTCCCTGATAGGGCCCTGGGCTGTAGAGAATAATAATAGTAGTTATAGTTTGATATTAAATAAGTATGGTATTGTTTAAATAAGAATCCTGGGCCATGTCTTAAAATGTGGGCTGGCCCGTTAGGAAATAATAACTATAAGAATGGGAAGGGGAGAAGAGGGTGGTTAGGCAGATTTTAGAACTAGGAAATTGTGTTCTGGGAGAGTCGAGGCCTCTCGAAGTGCCCGTGTCTTGTATCTTCTTCTTCTTTTCTGCGTTTCAGCAATAATATTGATCGATCTACTGTTAAGAAACCTGAATACCTATCATTCCCCAGGTTTAAGCTTGAGAGTTGAGACTCATACTTAGCTCTTAAGTTTTGTTGGGTTTATTTAATGTAAATTCAAAATATGACTGAGAGATGGATTCTCTTCAAGACAGAGACTAAAATATTATACTTTAAACAGTGCATTTAAGTATTGCATTGACTCACCATCTTAGTCTCATATTTGTTTGGCCCTACTAAATTGGTGTCTAACCATATTTCGAACATGTGTCAAGCTTATCTATACTTTTACAAATTTAATATCCAACAACATAATCTCACTTTCATTAATGTGCGTGTAACTTTCTCATATCCTAAAGATAGTAGGAAGAGGTAGTACTTTTCAAAAAACAGAAGATCTACATTTTGACACGTTTCGCCCGTAGACCTCACATAACAAGATGTGCAAGTTGTCTAATCTTGGATTGGAATTCCACAGGCATTCCAAAGGGGGTCTCCATTGGTGCCTGATGTCTCCAGAGCAATATTACGTGTGACAGAGAGTGAGACTATGAGGAGGATAACTGATGAATGGTTTGGGGATGGCACAGATTGTTCACAGATAGATGACACCATGTATGGTTCAGTGGACTGCTTTAAAGGCCTTTTCATCATTGCTGGTTCATCTGCATCATTAGCTCTTCTCATATTCTTCTGCTCCTTCCTCTATCAGAACAAGGATATCTTAACATCTGATATTCCAATCTCTCAAAAGATTTTTGCATTAGTAAAATCTTTTTGTGAAGAAAAGAGGACATTTGGGGAGTCTGATAGGAAGCCAAGTGAATTCATAGAAGGCAGGAGTAATGCCTGCTGAACTTTATCCACAAACCAGGCATTGAACATTCTCCGTGCCACACTTTTTTGTAGCAGCAACATAGGTGACCTTAGAAAGACGAGGCATAAAATTGTATGTTGACCGTTTTATGAAGCTGTCCATATATTCAGAGTTCCGAGTTGAATCAATCAACACATAATCTGATACTGTAAATTTTATTCGGTGCCAAATGGGCCTTTAATCCCCTTTATTTTATTGTACATTTAGGTTTTTTACAGTGTATTACCAATTAAATTTGATTGCACATTCCAGTTAAATAACAAGAGTTCTCAAAGATTCAGCCTCTCGTTGTTTGACATGAAAAAATAATAACCCAAACTTAAGAAAATTAATTATCACGAAGCAAATGAGGGGTTTGGAAGGGTCACTTTTTTACACGGATACGTTATAGACTTGGAAGAAAGATAGAAGCTTTACGAGATAATATTTTTCCAGATCTTATTATAGAACTCAATGAGTGTTTATTGAGAATGAACATTCAATTATTTATTAAATCACAAATTGATAATTTAAAAATAATGACAATATGATATATAAAGTACGAGAATAAGAGAACGTTCAAATGACTACACTGATCACTGATGCAGTCAAAAGATTTTTTCAGATAATTTGTACACAAAATTTTACACATGAATTATATTTTCCCCAAATTTGGAGTGGGTAGGGGCTTAGCAATGCCCCCTTAACTTTACTTTTACGTTTAGTTGTGTTATAGAAAAAATAAGTGTAGGTTCTAAAAATGTAAGTATGATTTTAATACTTATATAAATAGCAACAAGAAATAAAAGTTTTTGCTTCCAAATGGAACAAAGAAGGATGGAAAGTATGGAACCAAAGAAGGATGGAACCAAGAGCTATCACATAATGCTGTTACTGCATGTTCAACATTTTGTTTGTAAAAAACCTAGAATCTCATTTTAAGTTCTGTAGCAATGCCATAAATTCCCTAGATACATTCCTGCAAAATGCAAATATCTTGCTCAGGAGTCTACATATGCATTCAAGCAATCTCCCAACTACTATTCAATAATTTTTGTACTCACTTTTCTTGCACAAATAGTCCAACTAAATTTCCGCCCAACAGCTCAAAAAGTGAATATCAATCAACTGCAAATATAATCTCTACCTCGACCGCTACTAGCAAGTATTGCCTGTATGTAAGAGAGATCGAATTTATAAGATCTTCAAAGCATCCTTCTTTCCTTAGTATGAAAACTGTGCAACAGTGCAAGTCCACCATTTCCATATCATAAATAACAGTTTCAGCCCCAAACACGGCTAAGGCCAGACATATAATCCCTTTTATTATTGGGTAAGTGTATTCTTTTATCACATTTATACTTTGATAGACCTTTTCTGCCCGTTCAGTAATAGACCTTGATGTCCTCCTGACCTTATATACTCCGTAGTTGTGTTGCTAACCTCTTTAAGAGCCTGAACAGAGCCCTCTAATTAATTTGGAGGCCCCGTCCCAAACGTAAAAATGAGGCCCCATATTAATATAAAAGATAAAAAATCAATGTAAATACTTATACTGAAATCAATTGAATACTCATCAAATAATGTAATAAAAATCACTTAATATTTGATTTAAAGCAGCACAACTCATCACTCAATAAATTTGAGTGAAAAATGAGTAAAAGTACGGACAAGAAACTTTATTTTATCGATTAGTATTTTTATATATTGTTACTATGTAATAATAATAATTTCAAAAAAAATTGGGGCACCTAGAAATGGAGAGGCTCTGTTTTGTAGAACATGTTGAACATGCTAAACGCCGGCTCTGAGCCTGAACTTCAAAGAAAGTTGTGGTTGACTTGGACGTGTTGTTTGTCCAAACACTTTAAATAGTAATGTGATAACATAAATGAGGAAAATTGTAAGCGTTTTATTGTATGATAAATCTACAAAAATCAAACCTAACACTATATATATTACACAGCATACCAGTTTTATTTAACCGTCTTTTTTAATATTTGGCTCTATATTACTCCGTACAATATGCATGGATCATTTTAAAGTTTTTAGTATTTTTTTCAAGTGTGGATGTTTTTAAAAACAAATAGATCACTCAGATTAAAAAAATAAATAAATTATGAAAAAGTCTTCGCCCCATACTCTAAAGTAGTCCTAGGATTATTACTGTATCCAAACCCAATGTTCTGCCAAACATCTTATCAAGGTCAATCAACGTGACAGCTATTTAATGAAAACAAGGAAATGAAGATTATTATTACGGCTTAAGTGGACTTTGTCTTCAGTTTCAGACCAGTGGTCAACAAGTTTACAAGTGCCTCTTCGAAATGGTCGAAGTAAACTCTGAACGAATTATTCAAAGACTGTCAAATCCCAAAAACTCATACATATTGAGCAGAACTGCTACCAGCTACCTCATCATTCCATGCGTTACAAAGTTAAAGGTTTTCCAACATGGAGGCTGCAACAAGATATTTCATTCTTCTTTCAATTGTTGGAATATCATTCATAATCTTTCCCACATCAGCAGCAAGTGATGGCAAGAATGCTACCGCAGTAAAAGTTGGTGTGGGTGTGATTCTTGACTTGGAATCCATATCTGGAAAGACGAGAAGGGCATGCATTACACTTGCTCTGTCTGATTTCTACACCGACCGCAACCACAGCAATGGCAGAATCCAGATTGTCCCACACTTCAGAGACTCCAACTCCAATGATGTTGGTGCAGCATCTGCTGGTCGGTAAAGACTTCATGGTCTCGTGTCGTGCCAAGTATGTATTGATGTTTAGCGTCAATGCACACTTGTCACAATTCTAGTCTTGCCATTTCATAGGTAGGGGTTGACCCTGTCCAGTTTCGGTTGCAGGTCGTGAGAAGGGAGGAACCGGACATGACCAGGCTTGGACCAGTCCGGTTCCATAACTGGGTTCACCTCTACTCACTAGCCCACATCTCGTTGAGTAATGGGTGGACGAGATAGTATACTGTTTTCTAATTACTTGTTCATAAGTTCATCTATGAGTCTAATGTTTCATTAGTGATGTATATTTGCAGCCATAGACCTGCTGAAAAACAATCAAGTACACGCAATATTAGGTCCCCAGGGATCGACCCAAACAGACTTCGTAACAGACATAGGAAAGAAAGTGAGAGTTCCCATCATTTCACCAGCTACAAGTCCTTCTCTTTCACCCAGCCAAAACCCATACTTCATCAGAGCAGCTTACTGCTCCTGCGCTCAGGCCAAGGCCATTGCAGCAATTGTTAAGGCCTTTGGTTGGAGGCAAGTCGTTTTTATCTATGAAAACAGCAACTATGGAAGTGGAATCCTTCCCCATTTGACTGATGCCATGATGGATATAAGTGTCTCAGTAGCACACCAAAGCATTCTTTCGCCATCAGCAGATGATGATCAGATCATGGTGGAGCTACTTAAATTAAAGACGAAGCAGACACGTGTTTTCATAGTCCATTTGCATCCACACTTTGCCCCTCAGTTTTTTGTAAAGGTGCGTAAATATAACAAACTATGGTACAGTACTTCTATTCAAATGACTCGTTGGCCTCAATTTCCTGACATTAGTTAAAGTGGAAATAGTCCCAGTCTCCATGTGGGCACATTTAAGTATTCCACATGAGGTCTCAAAACTAATACTTATATAGTGAAATAAAGTGTCCAAATCCAATAGGAACATGAAACTAAACCTTAAACCAATTGAGAATTGGAAATTATAGTAATACAAGTAAAACATGAAACAATATTTACTAAAGTTTTATAAAATGACTTTTATATTACTTTAACAAGGTTAAAGAAGCTGGAATGATGAGCAGTGGTTATGTATGGATGATCACAGATGAATTCACTAGTCATTTGGTCTCTATGGAGGCTTCAGTTCTTGACTCGTTGCAAGGGGTTATAGGATTGAAGCCTTACGTCCCAAGTTCAGTTGAGTTGAATGACTTCACCAGGAGATGGAAATCAAAAGAGTTTCGTCAACAAAATCCAGACATTGATGGAGTGGAGCTCAATGTTTTCGGGCTATGGGCATATGACAGTGCCATGGCATTGGCTACAGCACTTGAGAAACTAAACACTTGGAGTCTGAAATTTAATAGAACATTTATTAATAAGGAGAATCCAACAGATTTGGATACAATTGGGACTTCACAAATGGGTCCTTTGCTACATGAATCCATAAGAAATATCAAATTCAGGGGACTAAGTGGTGATTTCCACATAGTTGATGGAGAACTACAGCCATCTGCATTTCAGATTGTGAATGTCATAGGTAGAGAGAAACAGATTGGCTTCTGGACAGAAAAGTATGGGATCTCCAAGAAACTAATTAACCCAAATAGTACAAACCTTTACTCTGCTAAGGCAAATGATCTTGGGGCGATCTTATGGCCAGGAGACTCTACTGCTGTCCCAAGAGGCTGGGAAATCCCCACAGGTGAAATAAGGTTGAAGGTAGGAGTTCCTGTTAAAACAGGGTTTCAGGAGTTTGTTGAAGTCAAAATTGATCCCCAGGGAAACACTGTAAAGGCAACTGGTTTCTGTGTAGATGTTTTTGAAGAGGTGATGAAGTCTATGCCTTACTCTGTGCCATTTGATTATATAGCAGACACTTACCCACGACGCAAAGACCATCCATACTATGACCACTTAGTTGATCAGGTCTCCATTGGGGTAAATACTGAATCTATCAACCTTCCTTCATTTGTTCATTTACTTTAGTTACGTTATATTTATAATGTCACACTTGCACTTACTACTTTTTTGGCAGAAATATGATGCAGTAATCGGTGATATTACCATCTTATCAAAGCGTTCCAAAAATGTGGATTTCACTTTACCATTTACAGAGTCCGGGGTCACCACTGTTGTTCCCGTCAAACAAGATGAAAAAAAGAACGCGTGGATTTTCTTGAAACCTTTCAAGACAGAACTATGGGTGACAACTGGTGTGTCCTTCGTCATCATTGGCTTTGTGATTTGGATCCTTGAACACAAGGTCAACAAAGAGTTTCAAGGTCCACGCCACAAACAAGTTGGGATGATCTTCTGGTTTTCTTTCTCAACTCTTGTCTTTGCACACAGTAAGTTCTAAAGATTACCTACTCCCTCATCAATCCCATAAAAAAGAGTTGTGTTTGAGTAAGTTGCGACTTTTTACTTCTAGTCGTCTCAATCAAGTTACAAGCTTTTTTCACAAATTGCAGAGGAGAGGGTAATAAGTAACTTATCAAGATTCGTGATCATAGTATGGGTGTTTGTTGTTCTGGTCCTGACATCAAGCT